TGGGTTGTTAGTTGTGGTGTAGTGGAGTTTCCTGATCTCTGAGTAGATTCTGGATACTAATCCCTTATCACTTGCATAATTTGTAAATATTTTCTTCATTTTGTCGGTTCCCTCTTCACTTTCCTGACTGTTTCTTTCGCAACACAGAAACTTCTCAATTTGATGTAATCCCAATTGTTGATTTTAGCTTTGACTGTGCCTTTGGGTCCTCTCCAAGAAGTCTTTGCCTGTGCCTATATCATGCAAGGTTTCTCCAATGTTCTCTAATAATTTTATGGTGTCAGGTTGTAGATTTAGATCTTTAGTCCATGTTGGGGTTTGCGTCGTGGCTCACTTGGTTAATCCTCCACCTGCGGTGCTGGCATCGCATGTGGGTGCCAGGTTCTAGTCCCCATTGCTCCTCTTCTAGTCCAGCTCTCTGCTGTGGCCCAGGAAGGCAGTGGAGGATGGTCCAAGTGCTTGGGCCCCTGCACCTGCCTGGGAGACCAGGAGGAAGCACCTGGCTCCTGGCTTCGGATCGGCGCAGCGCCAACCACTGCGGCCATTTATGGAGTGAACAAGTGGAAGGAAGACCTTTCTCTCTGTCTCTCCCTCTACTGTCTATAACTCTGTCAAATAAATAAAAAAATAATTTAAAAAATCCATGTTGAGTGGATTTCTGTATAAGACATAAGATAGGGGTGTCGCTTCATACTTCTGCATGTGGAAATCCAGTTGTCCCAGCACCATTTGTTGAAGAGACTGTCCTTGCTCCAGGCATTGGTTTTAGCTCCTTGATCAAATATAAGTTGGTTGTAGATGTCTGGATTGATTTCTGATGTCTCTATTCTGTTTCACTGGTCTATCTGTTTTGTACCAGTACCATGCTGTTTTGATTATAACTACCCAGTAGTATGTCTTGAAATCTGGTATTGTGATGCTTCCTGCTCTGTTTTTGTTATACAAGATTGTTTTAGCTATTTGAGGCCTCCTGTATCTCAATATGAATTTCAGCATCAATTTTTCCAGATCTGAGAAGAAGGTCTTCGGTATCTTGATTGGTATTGCATTGAATCTATAAATTGCTTTTGGGAGAATGGACATTTTGATGATATTGATTCTTCCAATCCATGAGCATGGAAGATTTTTCCATTTTTTGGTATCCTCTTCTATTTCTTTCTTTAAGGTTTTGTAATTTTCATCGTAGAGATCCTTAACGTCCTTGGTTAAGTTTATTCCAAGGTATTTGATTGTTTTTGTAGCTATTGTGAATGGGATTGATCTTAGAATTTCTTCCTCAGCCATGGCATTGTCTGTGTATACAAAGGCTGTTGATTTTTGTGCATTGATTTTATACCCTGCTACTTTGCCAAACTCTTCTATGAGTTCCAATAGTCTCTTGGTAGAGTTCTTTGGGTCCCCTAAATAAAGAATCATGTCATCTGCAAAGAGGGATAGTTTGAGTTCTTCCTTCCCAATTTGTATCCCTTTAATTTCTTTTTCTTGCCTAATAGCTCTGGCTAGAACCTCCAGAACTATATTGAATAGCAGTGGTGAGAGTGGACATCCCTGTCTGGTCCCAGATCTCAGTGGAAATGCTTCCAACTTTTCCCCATTCAATAGGATGTTGGCTGTGGGTTTTTCATAGATTGCTTTGATTGTATTGAGGAATGTTCCTTCCAAACCCAGTTTGCTTTGAGTTTTCATCATGAACGGGTGTTGTATTTTATCAAATGCTTTCTCGGCATCTATTGAGAGAATCATATGGTTTTTCTTCTGCAGTCTGTTAATGTGGTGTATCACATTGATTGTCTTGCGCACATTAAACCATCCCTGCATACCAGGGATAAATCCCACTTGGTCTGGGTGGATGATCTTTCTGATGTGTTGTTGCATTCTATTGGCGAGAATTTTATTGAGGATTTTTGCATCTATGTTCATCAGGGATATTGGTCTGTAATTCTCTTTCAGTGCTGCATCTTTTCCCGGCTTAGGAATTAAGGTGATGCTGGCTTCATAGAAAGAATTTGGGAGGATTCCCTCTTCTTCAATTGTTCTGAATAGTTTGAGAAGAATTGGAGTTAGTTCTTCTTTAAATGTCTGGTAGAATTCAGCAGTGAATCCATCTGGTCCTGGGCTTTTCTTTGTTGGGAGGGCCTTTATTACTGTTTCAATTTCTGTCTCAGTTATGGGTCTGTTTAGGTTTTCGATGTCTTCCTGGTTCAATTTAGGTAGGTTGCATGTGTCCAGGAATCTATCCATTTCTGATAGGTTTCCCTGTTTGCTGGCATACAAGTCCTTGTAGTAATTTCTGATGATTCTTTTTATTTCTGTGGTGTCTGTTGTTACATTTCCTTTTTCATCTCTGATTTTATTGATTTGGGTCTTTTCTCTTCTTTTTTTAGTTAGTTGGGCCAATGGGGTGTCAATTTTGTTTATTTTTTCAAAAAACCAGCTCCTCGTTTGGCTGATTTTTTGTAATGTTTTTCTTGATTCAATCCTGTTGATTTCTTCTCTGATTTTAATTATTTCTCTTCTCCTACTAGATTTGGGTCTGGTTTGCTGTAGGTTTTCTAGATCCTTGAGGTGAATAGAAAGCTCATCTATTTGGTGCCTTTCCAATTTCTTGATGTAGGCACCTATTGATATAAACTTTCCTCTTAACACTGCTTTTGCTGCGTCCCATAAGTTTTGGTATGTTGTGCTGTTATCCTCATTTACTTCCAGAAAGTTTTTGATTTCTCTTTTGATTTCTTCTATGACCCATTGTTCATTCAGGAGCATGTTGTTCAATCTCCATGTGTTTGCGTATGCTCTAGGGATTCCTGAGTTGTTCATTTCCAACTTCATTCCTTTATGGTCTGAGAAGCTGCATGGTATGATTCTAATTCTTTTGAATTTGCTGAGACTTGCTTTATGGCCTAGTATGTGGTCAATCCTAGAGAAGGTTCCATGTACTGCTGAGAAGAATGTATAATCTTTAGCTGTAGGATTGAAAGTTCTGTATATATCTGTTAGATCCATTTGGGCTATAGTGTCGTTTAAATCTACTGTATCCTTGTTGATCTTCTGTCCTATTGATCTGTCTATTTCTGAGAGTGGAGTATTGAAGTCCCCCAGTACTATTGTATTGGGGTCTAAGTCTCCCTTTAAGTCCGTTAACAAATCTTTTAGATAAACCGGTGCCCTGTAGTTAGGTGCATATACATTGATAATTGTTATATCTTCCTGTTGAATTGATCCCTTAATCATTATGTAGTGTCCCTCTTTGTCTCTCTTAATGGTTTTTGTGGTAAAGTTTATGGTGTCTGATATTAAGATGGCTACGCCCGCTCTTTTTTCATTTCTGTTGGCATGGTATATCTTTTTCCAGCCTTTCACTTTCAGTCTGTATGGATCTTTGTTGGAAAGATGTGTTTCTTGTAAGCAGCAAATAGATGGGTTTTGTTTTTTAACCCAATCAGCCAAACGGTGTCTTTTAACTGGACAGTTCAGGCCATTCACGTTCAATGTGACTAATGATAAGTGGTAACTTTGCCCTGCCATTTGCCAAAGATAAGTTCTAATATATGCTTTGAATTCCCTGTGATCTTTTGCTGTGAGCTTTCCTTCCTTGGTTTCCTTCCTTTACCTTCTTTCATATTGATGACCGTGTTTCTTTGTTTCTGTGTGTAACACATCTTTAAGCATCTTTTGCAGGGCTGGACGAGTGGCAACAAATTCTTTCAATTTCTGTTTGTTATGAAAAGTCTTTATTTCACCTTCATTCACAAATGATAGCTTTGCAGGATATAATATTCTGGGCTGGCAGTTGTTCTCTCTTAGTACCTGGGCTATATCTTGCCATTCCCTCCTAGCTTGTAGAGTTTCTGATGAGAAGTCAGCTGTGAGTCTGATTGGAGATCCTCTGAGAGTAATCTGACGTTTCTCTCTTGCACATTTTAGGATCTTTTCTTTATGTTTCACTGTGGAGAGTTTAATTACAACATGCCGTGGTGAGGGTCTCTTTTGGTCGTGTTTATTAGGGGTTCTGTGAGCTTCCTGTACTAGGATTTCTCTGTCCTTCTCCAAACCTGGGAAATTTTCTGCTAATATCTCACTAAAAAGGCCTTCTAATCCTTTCTCCCTCTCCATGCCTTCAGGAACTCCTAGAACCCGAATGTTGGGTTTTTTAATAGTATCCTGAAGATTCCCGACAATATGTTTTAGATTCCTAATTTCCTCTTCTTTTCTTTGGTCTGACTGTATCCTTTCCTGTTCTCTGTCTTCTAAGTCCGATATTCTCTCTTCTGCTTCTCCCATTCTGTTTGTAAGGCTCTCTATTGTGTTTTTCATTTGATCTATTGAATTCTTCACTTCAGTCACTATCACAGTTTCCTGTTGTACTAGTTGTTTCGTTTCATTTTGATTCCTCCTTAATATTTCATTTTCACGAGAGAGATTTTCTATCTTGTCCATTAAGGATTTCTGTAGTTCAAGAATTTGTTTTTGAGAACTTCTTAATGTTCTTATCAATTTTTTGAGATCTGCTTCTTGCATTTCTTCTATCTCATCATCTTCATAATCTTGAATTGGGGTATCTTTTTCATTTGAGGGCGTCATGGTGACTTTCTTGTTTTTATTGCCTCGGTTTTTGCGTTTGTTATTTGGCATATTGGAGATATTTGGTTTCTTCACTGTGGTGCTTTTTCTTGTTATACTATGACTCTAGATTAAGTGGCCTATCTGTTTTTGATGGAGCCTTAGGGCTTGAGATGGGTGTGGCCTGAGAGCTCTGTTTGGTGTGCCAAAGGTGACACTCCCAGGTTAGGCGCGGTAAATCTCTCTCTCTCTCTCTCTCTCTCTCTCTCTCTCTCTCTTTTTGATTCAAAAGGGAAGTAATTCTGCACAGCTGAACAAAGTTGGAGGTAGTTAGCAGGCAAATGATATACCCACAGGAGCCAGAGATCAGAAGCTCTTTCCCAAGGACCACACAGGGAATCTGTTCGGCCCTTAGAGTGGGCTCAAATTCTCCTTCAGTCTCCCACTGGGTTGCCAAAGTTACAGAATTGTAGCGTCTCTGGAGAGTGCTCACGTGAATTCCGTGAGTTCTCTCCCCCACCGTCTCTTTTTTCACAGTCTCAGTTCAGTAGCACCATAAATTTACTAAGTCCTAATCTCCTGTTAATTCGCCCCACCCAGAGTCAGGTTTTACTGCTAGGCTCAGGGCCGGTGCAGACCTGAGGTCGCTCTGCTTATGACGTATGTCCAAGATGGCGCCTGCTCTTTGTCTTGCTCGCCCTTGAGAGGTGAGCGGAGAGAGAGAAACCCGTGTCCATACCAGTCACCTTTTTTTTTTCCCTCTCTCTCTCTTCCAGTTAGCTTGGTGAAGTCCCCCCCGCCCCGGGGGTCGTTCCCTCTAGTCTCCTCTCTCCGCTTGCCTGCCGGTGTCTCGGGTTATTGAGGTTCGGCTCACCTCGCGTTCCAGCGCTGGTGTGTTGAGTCTGCCGCTGATGTCCCGAACTGTGGGCTCCCACGCTCTCCACGCAGGTCTGCTCCCCTTCCAGCGCCGATGTTATCATTAATTATTTTAAATGTAAGTGGATTAAGTTTTTCCATCAGAATAGAGTGGCTGAATGAATAAAATAGCAATATCCAACTTGATGCATATAAGAGACTCACTTTAGCTTTAAGGGCACATGTAGGCTTGAAAGTGAAAAGTTGTAAAAAATTATTCCATGCAACCAGTAACCAAAAGAGAACAGATGTGGTTATATCAGACAAAATAGACTTTACTCAAAAGAATGAATTAAGCACCTCATAAAGATATCTGCACCTCCATGCTTATTGCAACATTAATCACAACAGCCAAGATATGGAGACAACCTAAGAATCCAGTAACTAAAAATGGATAAGGAAATTGTGAGAGTGGAGATAAACACACATGACATATTTTGAAAAATTCACAGAAAATGGAATTAAAAGATAAGTATTTGGCACAAAATGAAATCCATGCAGTTTCTTCATAATTTGCATTTTCCAAAATTTTTAAGTGCCTTCATAATTAGAATTACAGAGACCTTGAAAAAGAAGAGCCTTCCTTTTGCAACAACAGCGATGAAACCGCAGGACTTTATGCTAATGGAAATAAGTGTGACAAAGAAAGAAAACTGCTATGTTATCTCACATAGAAAGTCTAACAAGAAAATTTAAAAGTTGAATACATAGAACAGAAAATAGAATGATAGCTACCAGTGGTGGGTGTGGTAGGAGGAGAGGATAGAGGTCAACATATACAAAGTTGTAGTTATGGAGGATGAAGAAGTCTAGATAACTAAAGTACATCATGAGACCTATGGTTAGTAATATTGTATTGTGTCCTGGAAACTTGCTGAGAGAGCAGATTTTTGAATGATCATGAAACAAAGCAAATTACAAAGGAGTAACTGAGATTATGGCTATGTTAGTTGCCTAACATGAATATTTGAAATAATCATTTCATTATGTATGACAAGTCTTCAAAAAGTTGATGGAAATGCATATTATGAAAAAGAAAACTTGGGGCCTGTGCCATGGCTCAGTTGGTTAATCCTCCGCCTGCGGCGCCAGCATCCCATATGGGCACCGGTTCTAGTCCTGGTTGCTCCTCTTCCAGTCTAGCTCTCTGCTGTGGCCTGGGAGGGCAGTGTTGGATTGCCCTGGTGCTTGGATACCTGCACCCGCAGGGGAAACCAGGAAGAAGCACCTGGCTCCTGGCTTCGAATCAGCACAGCGCCGGCCATAGAGGTCATTTGGGGAGTAAACCAATGGAAGGAAGACCTTTAAAAAAAGAAGAAAACTATGAATTTCAAACTTTTGAACAAAAATATCTTTTTAAAAACAGATTTATTGGGGCTGGCACTGTGGTGTAGCATGTAAAGCCACCACCTGCAGTGCCAGCATCCCATATGGGCTCCAGTTCAAGTCCTGGCTGTTCCCCTTCCAATACAGCTCTCTGCAATGGCCTGGGAAAGCAGTAGAAGATGGCCCAAATACTTGGGCCCCTGTACCCACCTGGTAGACCCTGAAAAAGCTCCTGGCTCCTGGCTTCGGATCAGCACAGCTCTGCCTATTGTGACTAACTGGGGAGTGAGCCAGTGGATAGAAGGCCTTTCTCTCACTCTCTCTGCCTCTCCTTCCCTATCTGTGTAACTCTGACTTTCAAATAAATAATAAGTTAGTATTACAAAAATCTTAAAAAAAGGACTTGGGCCATCTTATGTTTTTCAGGCCATAGCAGAGAGCTGGATCAGAAGTGAGCAGCAAGGACTCAAACAGGCACCCATATGGAATGCTGGCACTGCAGGCAGTGACTTTACCTGCTATGCCATAGCACCAGCCCCACCAAAACTTTTAGTTTTATTTTGCACAAAACTTTTGAAATATCCTCCAATATCGAAATGTATTGTATACCTTAGTATATCATCTAAATAAAAGAGAGAATAAATAACATTTAAATCAGATGGCATAAATTGTTGTTGAAAATCACAGAAGACAAAGTTGCAGCATCTACTCTGTTCTCAAGTAAGCCTTTCTATATATATATTTTTTAACTCTACAGAATCAGAAATGGACTCAGCAACAGTGCACTCCCCCTATTTCCTCAAAAGGATTCATGTTTGCTAGAGACCATTACTAAAGAACAGAGCAGCATGTACCAAAGAGCACAAAGCCCAACAAAGAGGAAGATGAGGGCCATTGCAACAATTCAGATCTTTTAGTATTCCTTCTGCTAGAACCCCTGTGAGGCTATTCTATTCCTAAATGCTCTCAAATCTTGTTCCCTCCACAGAACCTGCTCTGCTACTCCATCATTCTTCCAGATTCCCTCTCTCCTTCCCAACACATTTTTATTCTGCCTTGATTTTTTTTTTAAGATTTATTTATTTAACAGGCGGAGAGTTACAGAGAGGCAGAGGCAGAGAGAGAGAAGTCTTCACTCACCAAATGGCTTCAATGGCCAGAGATTTGCCAATCTGAAGCCAGGAAGCAGGAGCTTCTTCCCCATCTCCCAAGTGGGTGCAGAGGCCCAAGGACTTGGGCCATCTTCCACTGCCTTCCCAGGCCATAGCAGAGAGCTGGATCAGAAGTGGAGCAGCCACAACTTAAACTGGCACCCATATTGGAGGACTCAAACCTGCGCCCACATGGGATGCTGGCACTGGATGCAGCAGCTTTATCCACTATGCCACAGTGCTGGCCCCTCCAAATCCATCCTGATTTAGGGAGCAGTCTTCTCTATAGTGTCATACAACCTCTAGAGGACACAACTTAATTTAGCAATGTCTTTCGTTTGGAATCATATCTATGATCACTTTTTTTTAATTTTTATTTTTTGACAGAGTGGACAGTGAGAGAGACAGAAAGGTCTTCCTTTGCTGTTGGTTCACCCTCCAATGGCCGCCACAGCCAGTGCGCTGCAGCCGGCGCACCACGCTGATCCGAAGGCAGGAGCCAGGTGCTTCTCCTGGTCTCCCATGGGGTGCAGGGCCCAAGCACTTGGGCCATCCTCCACTGCACTCCCTGGCCACAGCAGAGAGCTGGCCTGGAAGAGGGGCAACCAGGACAGAATCCGGCGCCCCGACCGGGACTAGAACCCAGTGTGCCGGCGCCGCAAGGTGGAGGATTAGCCTGTTGAGCCACGGCGCTGGCGATCACTTCATTCTTGTAAGGTTTTGTGAGCTCTTTCCCATCTATTTTCTTCTCACCAAAATTTTCATTGAGTTCTCTTTGCTCTCTAAAACAGTGATGTCATTTTGTTAATAGTGTACACATATATTTCCCCATTTTAGCCAATCATTTTGCAGTAATAACCTTTTTTTAAGTTCTTTTTTTGTTTCCTGATTTTTTTCAACTTTTATTTAATAAATATAAATTTCCAAAGTACAATTTTGAATTATAGCGGCTTTCCCCCCATAAGCTCTCTCCCTCCCTCAGCCCTCCCATCTCCCACTCCCTCTCCCATCCTATTCTTCATCAAGATTCATTTTCAATTATCTTTATATACAGAAGATCAACTTAGTATATACTAAGTAAAGATTTCAACAGTTTGCACCCACACAGATACACAAAGTATAAAGTACTGTTTGAGTAGTAGTTTTACCGTTAATTCACATAGTACAACACATTAAGGACAGAGATCCTACATGGGGAATAAGTGCACAGTGACTCCTGTTGTTGATTTAACAATTGACACTCTTGTTTATGACGTCAGTAATCACCTGAGGCTCTTGTCATGAGCTGCCAAGGCTATGGAAGCCTCTTGAGTTCACCAACTCTGATCTTATTTAGACAAGGCCATAGTCAAAGTGGAAGTTCTCTCCTCCCTTCAGAGAAAGGTGCCTCCTTATTTGATGGCCCACAGTAATAACTTCTAATATTCATCTAGGTTATAATCTGCTGAAATTAAGTTTCATATTATTTTCTTCTATTGTTTGCCTAAGGCCTCACTGAGTATCATGAATCCACCTTGGCCACAGGCACCTGCTCATTTCCTTTACATATGTTATCAGTTTACAAGTAATGGCAGTTTCTTCCTTTGCCTGTCTTCTGCATCTGCAGTTTCTTCATTGTCTCTGCAAAAGGAGGTATACTTCAAGCCTTCTTCCTCTCATGTGCTCTCCCATTAATAACAGAGTTCTCTCCCTGTATATAGTTTTGCATCTCCGGAATTGTTTTTGGTTGTTTGCTGAATTCTTTATGATAAATGTGGTCCTGACACCTGTAAAGCCCACCAGAATTTCCAAATATAAAAATTGAAGTCTAAGCAACATAAGCAGCACCAAAAAATTTCCCTGTGAGAAGGGATTGTAAAAAGTGTCCCATTGAATACATTCTAAAAAAATGGTAATGTCATCAAAAAGAAACCCGGAGAACCTGTTCCAGAATAAAGGAGACCAAATATAACTAAATGCAGTACATGATCCTAGACAAAATCCTGTAATGGAGTTTGATTTTTTTAAGCCACAAAGGACATAGTAGGTAAACTGACCAAAATAGAATACGGATGAGAGATTAACTGAAAGTTATGTGTCAGCGTTAAATTTACTGAAGGAAATAATTGAATGTGTAAGAGAATTCTTTCTGCTTAAGAAGTACACTATGAATCTATATTCATTATATAAAAGTTAAAAAAAAAAGAAGTACACGATGAAATACTCAAGGAAAAGTGCAACATGTATGAAATGTATTCTCAAATGCTCAGGAATGTATGTGTGTTTTTGAACATGCACAAAGGGTGAGGAAAGACAGGAAGGAAGGAAGGAGACAGAGAAAAGAAATGGAAAATTGATCAAAATATTAATAATAGGTAAATCTGAATAAAGGGCTTACCATCCATGCAACTTTTCTGCAAATATAATTAGCTTGACACAAACACATTTTCTTACATGGACCCTTGACTATGTTTTCCTGAGTTTTACCTAACTTTTGCAATTTTTAACTTTCATTCCCACAGCTGCCACAGCTATACACAGTCAGTTGTCTCAGGTTCTGTCCCAGGCAAAATCCTGGGGTCTGCTGTCTGCATTTGAAGCAGTTAATGTTTCAGCATGATTTTGCATACTATTGGAAAGGAGCACCCAAGAAAGAGTTTTTCCTAATGATGCATAATGTAAAACCAAAGAGAATCAACATTTTATGAAACCATGTTTACAGCATGTAACCACAAATCTCTTTCTTACATGGTACCACGTCATGTGTCCTTGGGCTTTTAGGATGTGAACTGATTTCCAGATTTTCTTCTGTGCCAAGTCTATTGCCTTCTCTACCGGATTTCCTTCTTCCACATCTGTGTTTTCCTCTTTGGTGGGACCCTCTCCCCTTCTTGCCATCCTCAAAATTATTAAAAAAATTTTTTTTGCTAACAGTTGTATGGAAATTAATTCATATATCCATGAAAATATATGACATTTTTTCTCACAGTTGAACATTCATTACCTGAACCAATTTTAAAAGAATTTCATGACTTCAAAAGAAAATTGCATACCCTTTAGTTATTAACCCCTCGCATTTCATCTCCCAGCCCTCATAAACAACTAATTTACTTTGTGTCTATCAATTATCCTATTCTGGATATTTCATAAGGATGGAATGTGGTCATTTGCAACTGACCTCTTTCACGTAGGTTAATGTTTCTCAAGGTTCATTCTTGTTGCAGCATTGATCAATGTTTCCTTTTTATGGCTGAATTATATTTCATTGTAAGTATGTGCCACACTTTGCTTATCCATTCATCAGTTGAGGGACATTTGTGTGGCTTCCACATTTTGGCTGCTGTGAATGCTGTTGCTGTGAATATTTATTTGCAATTTCTCTGTGCATAATTTTTAATTTATCTTGTGTATAATGCCTAGGAGAAAAATTGCTGGCTTAAATGGCAACTCTGTGTTTAATATTTTAAGGAACTGTCTGACTCATTTCCAAAACACACTGTTTTCATTCTCTTTAACAGTATGTAAGACTTTGTATCTCTCTACATTTTCTCAAACCTTATTATCTGTTTTTTTCCCATTTTTACTTATTTGTTTTCATTTTATTTGAAAGACAGGGAGACAGACAAACAGAAACAGAGAAACAGATGGCAAGAGATCTTCCATTTGCAGGTTCACTGCCCAAATGCCCATAACAATGGGCCAAGCCAAAGCTAAGAGACTGGAATTCCATCCAGATCACTGAACTGAGTGGTAGGGACCCAAGTACTTGAGTCATTGCCTGCTGCCTCCCAGAGTTCACATTAGCAGGAAGTTAGATAAGAGGAGGAAGAGGGGCTGGCGCTGTGGCACAGCGGGTTAAAGCCCTGGCCTGGGGCGCCAGCATCCCATATGGGTTCTGGTTCTTGTCCCTGCTGCTTCTGTTCCTATCCAGCTCTCTGCTGTGGCCTGGGAAGGCAGTAGAAGACACCTGAGTCCTTGGGCTCTTGCACCCACGTGGAGACCTGGAAGAGGCTCCTAGCTTCAGATTGGCGCAGCTCCAGCCATTGTGGCCATCTGAGGAGTGAACCAGCAGATGGAAGACCTCTCTCTCTCTCTCTCTACACCTCTGTAACTCTGTCTTTCAAATAAATGAATCTTTAAAAAAAGAAGCCATAAGAAACATATTTGTTAAAAAAAAAAAAAAGAGGTGGGAGAACCAGATTCAAACATAACACTTGGATGTGGGATGTGAGCATCCCAAGAAGTGCCTCAACTTGTGCCAAATGCTTACTCCTGTTACCTGGTTTTTCAATTGTGATCATTCTAGTAGGTGTGAAGTGGCATTTCATAGTGGTTTTCTACTTCCTTTATGAGTAATGAAATCAAGGAACTTCTGTTATAATTCTTTACTTTTAGTGGCATTTTAGGAAGGACATGAACTATTAGTATAGTTGATCTACTAAGTATAACTGGATGAAAAATAACTTATTTTAAATATGTAAAAGTAAAAATTTCTTCTAAGTATTGAAAACATTTGCATAGCAATCTCAGGGTTTTGTCCACCTGTACTGTTTCCTACTTCAGTTCCTTTTAATGTTATGTTGTCTATGTGGTTAAGGAACTGTAATATTGTGCACTGAATTTGGCTCAGACTATATTACTTCAGAAGGCAGAGACATTCCCAGTGGTAAACTCTGAGGTATGGCAGTAACTTAACTGGATTAAGACTGTAGGTGGGAGAGTAGAGGCCTCCAAGTTATTGCTTTGTCAATCCACATGGATCAGTTCCTCTACTGATCTCCACGGCTTCCAGTTCCTTGCCCTGGGTCACATCCCACATTTTACCATCCCAGGACCTCCACAGAATCACATTCATTCTGAAGCGTTAAGCTCCAGACAATGCAGGTTGAATGGTATAACTTCCAGATAAGAAGATAGAAGGATGGTAGAGTGAGGGGGCTGCAGTGAACACGTTTTATTTATTTTTTATTTTGACAACCAGAATTTCCAACATTTTACTGTAGAAACTATCTTAAGTGCCTTCCAGGAAATTGTCCAATGTTTTGTTCAACATTTATTTATTTGAAAGGCAAGAGTGTGAGGCTGGTGTTGTGTAGCGTTAGCAGGTAAAGTGCGGGCATCCCATATGGGTGCCAATTCATGTCCTGGCTATTCTACTTCCAATACAACTCCCTGCTAATAGCCTGGAAAAGCAGTGGAGGATGCTGTTTGGACCCTGCCACCCATCTGGGAGACAGGATGAAGCTCCTGGCTCTTCACTTCAGCCTGGTCTCACACTGGCTGTTGGGGCCATCTGGGGAGTGAACCAGCACATGGAAGATTCTCTCCCTCCCTCCCTCTCTATAGCTCTGAATTTCAAAAAAAAAATGACAAAATCTTTTAAAAATACAGAGTTACACAATGAAAGAGACAGACATATCATCCATCTTGTGGCTCAATTTCCAAAGAGCTGTCATGTCAAGGCAAAATCTAGGAGCCCAAAACTTCATCTGGGTGTCCCACATGGGTGGCAGGGGCCCAAGTACTTGAATCATCATCTGCCGCTCTCTTAGTCACATTATCAAGGAGCTGCATTGAAAGTAGACGAGCCAGGACTAGAACTGGTACTCTGATATGGGATGTTGTTATCACAATAGGTAGCTTAATACACTGTACCACAATGCTGGCCCCATTCACCCAACTTGATTCCCAGTTTGTATAAGTGGCAGTTCCATCCCTCCAGATCCCTATTTTAAGGGTACAGATATGCCCAGTCTTGGTCAAAAAGAACATTATTTGGCAGTGCAAGGAGGCCCCCTCAAATATGTTACCCTGATTCATCGACCAGTATTCACCTCTTGATCATGGCCTAAAGGTATTCTGGGGGAATCCATCATAACTCCATTACCTCACCAAGATCAAAGGTGGCATCTCCAACTATATAGGTGATGGATATACTAAGGGCAGATCTTGCAGTAGTTGTCATGTGTGAATAGAGAGATGGCACCAAAACCAGCTTTCCTAAAGGGATGCCATGATGACAACAGCCCTGTGAATACTATTCTAACACTCTAAGAAGAGCACCATGCACATTCTGATGTAGCATGAGTAATCTGCAGCCCCTTATCAGCCCTATGGAAGTGGTGCCTGGGTCAGACTGGGAAAGTAGAATAGGGTCATGAGGTGGGGATAAGGGGACAAAAATTTCCTTCTATTGGCAAGGTCATCCCTCCTACTCATTTTTTCCCATAATTTCCCACTTACTCTAAGGAATTTTGTCCTTACATTCAACCTTACTTTGCCCTAGCAGTTAGGTAACTGTTCCACATTCCCACCACCAGTATCTAGGGGATTATTTTGCCGTGCAAAAATGTAATCAATTCAGCCAACCTGAAGAAATACCCAGGGCAGGGAGCTACCTTCATAAGCTTATTTTCCAATAGGAAAACATCAATGCCCCAAAGTATGGTTTCCCAATGCATTACTATGCCTCTCATGACAGATTCTCAACCAACAATAATAATGTTCCTAGACCTTAACCCAATCAGTCCCATGTCTACTATGGCAGTAATCTTCAACCACCCCTGAGGTGAGGTTCACCCTCCTGTGTCATGCTCTAGTCATTACAATATTTTCTTTAAAAAAAATAAGATTAAGCACAATTTTCTGAATAAGATATGTGACTTTGACCCTCTTCAGATATGACTTACCTCCCTTATTCCTCCAGAGGCCAAGAAATAGTCAGTGATGGGGAGGGTATATGGGCTGCCACACAATATTATACAGACTAGGAAACAGCACATGTACTCAGACTTCTCCGGGGATGGAAGGGCCTTAAGGGGCACTTGATAACCATCCCCCTAGAGAACCAGTGGACTGTAATGATTTAGAAGCCAAAAGAGATGAGTAAGTGCTGAACTAATTGCTTTTTTCCCCTAAGTATAAACCCTATGTTACTCAAATCCCATGTCTCCAAAATAGTACACATAAAAGACAACAATCATTGGGAGGAGGAAATCTTCCTCCCTGGAAATGCTGAAGGAGTAGAGACAGATCTCCCAATACAGTGCCTTCAGAAAATGTAGGTGTGGTTGGAGACACCTGGCTGGCTTGATGCCTGCAGGTATGGTTTGGATGGGGCAGGAACTCTTTATTGGGCATGGATGCCGGATGCCTCTGCGATAGTGGCTGATCCTTGAATGCCACAACTTTCTGGGGCTGTCTCACCCTGTCTGTGGTCAGTGCATTCTTTGATGGGTAATTTTGGTCAGCCAAGGGTGCTTCTTGGCTAAAGGACTTTGCATTATTCATTTTACAGGAGGAAGTTTTGTAGTTAAAAGGATGTCCCTGGACAGTATCTGCCTGGGCCTGCAATTGTGCCTTAAGAGTTTTCACAGGCTTTGTCGGAGAGAAACGTGATTCTTGGGGGCAGGTGATTCTGACACCATGGCTACTCCCTGGTTTCACATCTAACACCTTGCCAATGTGTGTCTTCACTTGCAGAGTTTTGGTGTTGCCAGTAGAGGCAGCTCTACTATTAACTTTGCTTTGGCTCTGCACAGATGATGGTGGGGAAGTCCCCTTTCCAAGGAAACTTTCTTGCCCTTTGTTTGTGCTGCTAGGACAAATCCATTGCAAACATTTTTTTATCTGTTTTTGGAACAGATTTTCAGGAGGAGGCTGATCCTTCAGTGACGAGGTTGGGGAAGATATGCTTCCAAGCATCTTCTTTAATGCCCTGTCTTGACCAGGGCAGCTCTTCCTACTGGGTTGTGGTGTCCCCAACCCTGCCTCCCCTTCACCAAGCTCCCCTGTTTTTGGTTGCAAATGACTCAGCCTCTTTGAGTTTGGTGGGACATTCTTATCCCAGCAGTTCTGCAAGATATGCTTAGGGACCCAGGGCTCCTGATGCTGTTCCATGCTGACTGGTGTGTTGTCCAAATGTACATGCATAACATGAGAAGCTGCCATCTTCCCATTGGAGACACCCTGGGCACGAGTCAGCAAGGTTTTAGAAATCAAGTTATGTGAGGCAACAGCATATCAATAGACTGGCCTTGAACAGGGTTATGATCCCTATTCTCCAATTTCAACTTTAATTCTTTAACCAAGTTGTTTTTAAATTCTGATAGTTTATGATCCTGGGAAACTGATGTTGGTGAGAGAATTTCAGTAACCAGGGTAGTTTTTTCTTTCTTTGTTTTCACATCTACCACTGCGGAGTCCACTGACTTGTTGGTTGTCAAGGCATTGGCAGAGTTTGATAGAAGAGCAAAGAGCTCCTTTGCCTTAAATATCTCTCTAGACTTATTAAACCTTGGGAAGTATTCTGAAGTCTTTACTTTGGGAGCCTGATGTCTTTCTGCTTTGTTGCTGGAACTCACTCTTATCCTTTGGCTCAGGTCCAGTCCCATCATGACTTGCAGATACCAGCACTGGGCTGTGTCTATTGTCTGGTCCAGTCTGTTTCTTAATTTGTCTGCGATGCATGGACAAGTCTTTCTGCCATCCTTAATCTGAACACCTGCAAGCTCCTGTTTTTCCTCTGGGGACAGGGGTCTCAGGTCCCCCTGTCCTCCCTTCCCTGGAAGTGATGCAGCAGGAAGGAGATGATCCAGATTGGGTGCTGACTTTATTATCTTCAATTTGTCTCTACACAAAGCTGTAGAGCTCCTACCAAGTGACCTGGATACCATAACTTTGGAATGCATCCCAGAACTAAGGCGATCTTGGGAGGAACAACAGGAATGGCCTAAGGAAGAAGATGAGTCCTCTTTCTTGCTGAAGATGTGTATGGATTCAAAGACCCTGGTGGGAAAGCCACACTTCATCCTCATGCAAAAACTGCTTATATGGTCTTCCAGCATCTTCTGTTTGCCGGGGCCCAAGAAATAAATCTCCTGGGAAGTGTTCAAGCTAATGTTTCTCATAGATGATGCCCCATCTATCTGTTTTTCACTGTGAGATTTCTCAGCAAAAGATATTGTCTGCTTAAGGGCATGCCATGAACTATGAACAGTCTCAGGAAGTCTACCCTCTTTTATTTCTTCAGTTTTCTTATTCAAATGTTCTTTGAGTGCAATTTCTAGTTGTTTCTGATTTATACTTATCCCTGAGGCCCTTGAATCATTCCCATACAGACTCACTGTATGACTTCCTTGATCTTTCTCAGAGTCAGACCCTAAACTGTTATCTGAGTATCCTTCTGGGTCACTCAATAGATGATCACTTGGGCCATTCTTTGGGCTGTGTCTCTGATGGTCCTTCTCTTCGTTATCTGACTGAAACTCTTCTGAGCTTGTCTCATGGGAGATTGGAAGTTGGCTCGATTCAGAATTCCTTAAATTGTTGCTACTCTGTTCCTTCAACAAAGATATCCATTTGAGTCTGTGAAGACTCTTTGATGCATATATTTCAGGAACATCTCTCTCAGGATTAATCAGTGTCAGAGACTCATTGACCCTGTGGGGTAGGCCCCATCGGTGTTGAATGAGTCTCTTTCTAAGGTGGTACTCAAATTTCTTGCGAAGCTCACTGCTCAGAGGGTGATCTCCAGGAATGATGGAGATTGGAACATGGATTTTGGAGGACTGGCTCACCAATGAAAAGTTGGGAGGTGGAGGACAAAGGCATTCCTGGGATGTTTTGACCACAGAGGGTAAACCCCACAAACGTTCCTGTTCTTTCTGTAGCACATTGTATTCTAGCTGATGAAGGTCAGATTGCATGAGACACTGTGCCTCATTATGGGGTCTATGGAAGCACACTCCACAGATCCTACGCTGGAAATCGGGAGATGTTGGTAGCATTGGGGGATTGGAGATGGAAGGTTGGACTGAGACTGTGCCAGAGTAACATGTTGTGACTGCGATTGGGAGACAGTTTTAGTTGAGGATTGAGATTGGATCTCAGGCAAGATCAGAGGCTGGAAATTGGGAAGTCCTAAAGATCCTTGAGATGTGGAAGCTTTGGAGATGCCATTAAAGATGACCCAAGTTGAGAGACAGTCATCTGAATGATGGATAATTGAGCACAAGGACTCACTGTGCAAAGATGGAAGACCCCAAAAGTATTTGATGCATTTTTCTGGTAATTGATTCTCAGAGGTCCTAGGAGATGGAGGCTGCTGGTTCATTTGCAGCTCCTCTGGTTTGCCTTTGCTGTTTCCAAAATAAAGGAAATGTATAATGTATCATGTATAATCAGCATCTGATACTAGCATTGGCTCCAAAGTATATGGTCAGTGGTCTGGACTGACTGACTCATGCTTATCAGTGTCTGGCCCCAACATTTTCTCTGAAGCATTTAACTGGTATACTGGCCTGTCTGCTGAGTCATGGTTATCAGCAACTGGCCCTAACATTTTCTCTGAAGTATATAGTTGGAGGTCTGACCTGACTTCTGTGTCAGGCTTATCAGCATCTGACTCTAGATTTTCTCTGAAGTATCTAGTTGGTATTCTGCCATGATTGCAGAGTCATGCTTATCAGCATCTGACTCTAACTTTGGCTCTGATATATACAGTTGGTGGTCTGCACTGACTGCTGACTCATGTCTATCAGCACTTGACTCTACCATTTTCTCTGAAGTACTCAGCTGGTAGTCTGAACTAAGTTGTTTTAGAAATGGTTCCATTTTATTTTCCCTTTCCGTCCAGATCAGGAAATCACCCCTCTTTCTTACTTGTTTCTCCAAGAGTGCCAGATTGTCATGGCTGAGTAACAAGAAGTTAGTGGGTTCTCCAAGGTTGGATGCACATTCTGTGCAAGAGGTCTCAGAAGATTGGCCATCAACAAGCTCATGCTTGATACTATCTTGTTCTACGTTGGAAGAGGACAAGTCTTTGGCATCCTTGACCAGGGCCTGCTGCCAGGGTGATTCTGGCATTGAATGGTCAATTTCACTGACTGTTGGAATATCAGTTGACAACCCATCAGGGCTATTCATTACAGACAGAGCAATCTCTGGATGCAGATCATGATCTGATCTCTGAGATTGATGTGGTGTGGGAGGGCAAAGAGCAACAGGTTGGGGTGGGAAAGGGTCCACTGGGAGTTTTGAAGCCAAGGGAGGAATAGGCTCTGATGGTACTGAGTCAGCTGGTGGGTCGGGGGACAGTAAATCAGGTAAAGAAGCAACATGGTTAAGTGAGACAGTAGAAGGGGGAGGTGGAGATGGCACATGCAAAGAGGCTGACTTTTGGCCTCTTGGATGAGTTTTTGAATGGGCAGATGTCACAGTGAATGAAGTCTCTTTTGTAGCCACTCTGTTACACACCGTACAGTGAGGGTCTGGACAAAGCAGGTGATGGAAACTGGTGATATCTTGATGTTGGCTCTGGGGTCTACAGGAAACAGGAAGAAAAGGCTGTGGTCAAGACCAGAACATGGAAAGGAGGGTCTGCTGGCCTAGTGGGGGTAGGGATAGCCCAAGCCTACTGTTCCCATCACCTCACATTTGTGATGTTACACTAACTCTGTAGCCCCTCCCAACACATTCTATTCCTATGGCTACCTGCTTCACATCATAATGGCAGGCTTCACTGATTCCCTGGAATATATGGAACATATTTTAAAAAAAAAAGGACCAGGAAAAAGAGGAAAGGTTAATCACCTTTTCAAAACAGAAAGAAGCTTCCATACCTCCTCTGCTTCTTTCTGGTTAATCCTTGAACCTGGGAAATCAGAGAGTAGAACATATGTAATGAAAGTAGAAGCATAAGAATCATACAGGAGTCCCCCTATGGGAGTCCCTGGGGATATTAAATTCTGAATGTTCCAAGAATCAGTATTTATGGAAAGATTGTCAATGATAATATTAATAAGACTTGCATGTATATGTGGCAATAAAGTACTTTCACATACGTTATACAGTGTGATGCCAAAACTCACCACGTGAAGCACAGATATCAGCGCAGTACTCAGTGAAGAATGTGAGTACCCAAGAAGTCAAAGGCCATCTATAAAGGCAGGAGACTGAAGTTCTGACTACAAGACAACTAGTAGTCCATACTTATTTCTCACCTCATCACATTTTGGGCTGTTCCTGTTGTCCATGCATCTGATTCCTGCCCACAGATGGGCTAAGGAAGAACTCTGAGAAATGTCTCAGGTATGACTGTCTTTCCCAGGAGTTTCTCCTCTGAGTATTCTGTTTTCACAGAGAGACTGTATATAGCAACTGACATTTTCAGAGGCCCTGGATCTAAAACAGGAAGGATCACCCTTGCAAAGCTCAGTTTGAACACAGAGAACCTTACATCTAAATGTTCCACCTTTCCACCGCCTCGTGGCTCTACCCCGACACTGAGAACAAGAAGTAAAGAACGAGGGACTAAGTTTCACTTCTCTTACTCCATTTACCACCCCAAATATCTCTTCATTTTAAATTATAGATATGTATTCCTTACATTACTAATATTCACAGGTTTGATTTTATCCTGGAAACCTCCACCATATCAGATAGGTGGTCTGTGAGCTTCACTTGTAAGCCTTTGTTCCCCCCAAACCCATCCCTGCCTAGCCTCTGCCCCTAGGAAGGTGGTGCTGTGTCCTTCCTCAGACTTCCCATCTCTGGCTTCTCTCTGAGGAAACCAAACTCGTTTAGGTATGAGAGAACAGAAATGGGGAACAACAGCAACATCAACATGCTTCTTGGAGTTCACCCATAGTTCCTTACCTTTTCGGTGGTCTTCTTTTTCCAGATGGTTGTGAAAAATAGCTTTAACACCAGGTAGCTCAGGTACAAAAAGATCAACCGCAACCCACTAATAAGAGTGTAGTTGAGGCTGCTATCAATAAAAATCGAGCTGAAGCTCAGCCACAGCTCAAAATGGCTCTTCAGAAATGAGAGGACGTACTCCATTATCTGAATCGCAGTGCTGCTGAGAGGCAACTGAGGGTTGAGGGTTCAAGCCCTTGACTATATAGTTCCAGCTCTGCATCACAGATTATGAGTCACAAAGGGAATCTGAGGCTAGAGAGGATGACATCATGATGTGCCCACAGCCCCACCCCTACCTAGAGCCCAGCAGATGTGCTTGTCCAGCCCTTTAACTCTATCTTCAAACTCCATGCTTTCCCCTATCCTATGTCAAACTTCTATCTATAATTCAGATGTGACCTGAGTCCATTTTACTATTAGGTGCCCTTGACTTAAAGCTCACCAACTGCACAACCTTGAAAGTCTGAATTTTTGCTTGTCTCCACACATGTATATTCTTTCTTTTTTTTTAAACAGGCAGAGTGGACAGTGAGAGAGAGAGAGAGACAGAGAGAAAGGTCTTCCTTTGCCATTGGTTCACCCTCCAGTGGCCGCCGTGGCCAGTGCACTGTGCTGATCTGATGGCAGGAGCCAGGTGCTTCTCCTGGTCTCCCATGGGGTGCAGGGCCCAAGCACTTAGGCCATCCTCCGCTGCACTCCCTGGCCACAGCAGAGAGCTGGCCTGGAAGAAGGGCAACTGGGACAGAATCCGGTGCCCCGACCAGGACTAGAACCTGGTGTGCCGGCCCTGCAAGGTAGAGGATTAGCCTAGTGAGCCGTGGCGCCAGCCCACATATGTATATTCTTAGATCACATATATCACCGAATCCACCTGCTATACTGCTTTTGCCTTACACCTACCCAGATTCAAAATTTAGGTTCGTTACACTTGTTTAGTTTATGAATGCCAAGCATTATTTTGTTCATTTGTTTCAGCCTCTACTGTCTTCAGAGGGGCTCATAATTCAACAGGCACAAAACACATAAGTGTAAAATAAATATATATAATAACTTAAAGCAATGTTGGACTATATTTAGCACTTATTTTTCCAGTTAGTATAGCTTAAAATGTATGAAGACATTTATTTATATATTTACTTAAGAGGCAGAGTTACAGAGAGAGAGGAAGAGACAGAGAGTGGTCTTGTATCTACTGGTTCACTCAGCACATGGCCACAACACCCAGAGCTGGGCCAATCGAAATCCAGGATCATGGGGCTTATTCCAGGTCTCCTATGTGGGTGCAGGGGCCCAAGAACTTGGGCCATCTTCCACTGATTTCCCAGGCCATTAGCAGAGAGCTGGATAGGAATGGAGCAGCTTGGACACAAACCAGCACCCATGTGGGATGCTGGCACCACAGGCAAAGGCTTAACCTACTATACCACAGCACCGGCCCTGAATGAAGACTTTAAGAAATGCTCTATATACAAATAATCCTTTGACTAATCAACCCAGAATTTTTAAAACTAAAATGTTTTCAAACTTTATTTAAAGCTTCAATTTGTTGTTTTAAGGCCACTTCTAACTCTGTCTAAAGTACAGAGAGGCTGGGCCTCTAGATCAATAGATGTGTGACTCCTTCAAACCAAGGAAGGGTAACAGTGTACTAAACAATTGATCCCCTCAGTCCTTGGTGGCAGACTGGAACTTAGGAGAGTCAGGTTATTGGAACAGAATCTAATCTTATGCAGACTGTCCTGATTACTTTTTTTTTCATTTTTTAAAGATTTATTTACTTGAAAGGCAAAGTTACAGAGTTACAGAGAGGCAGAGGCAGAGAGAGAAGTCTTCCATCAGCCAGTTTACTCCCCAAATGGCTGCCACAGCTGGAGCTGGGTCAATATGAAGCCAGGAGCCAGGAGGCCCCTCATGCAGGTGCAGGTGCCCAAGGACTTGGGCCATCCTCCACTCCTTTCCCTGGCCAAAGCAGAGAGCTGGATCAGAAGAGCAGCTGCAACTCAAACCGATGCTCATTTGGGATGCTGGCACCGCAGGCGGTGGCTTTACCTGCTATGTCACAGTGCTGGTCCCTGTCCTGATTACTTTTGTGGACCAAGTAAAAGTGATCTTACAGTGCCTTGCCAATGTGGGAGAGGGCAGGGGATGGTTGAGAAGGTGTGCTCTATATAAGCACCCTGCAAATGTGTAATGTCAGCTTCCTGTAACAATTTATTCAGGCTTCTGTTGTCAGGTTTAAATCACTCCAAATCCACCCACCTACCCCCACCCATTTTCCTATGCATTTACTCAGATCTTGTCATGACAGCTGTGCTCTGAAGTGCCTCCTAATTACTCCTGTCTTTCTTAAACTGTGAAGCCTTTGAATGGATGCCTATGGCCCAACTCTGTTACTTGATGTCTTTGGAAGAGGGAAGGATGAACAGCCATTTCTACTATCTAGTTGATACATCTGGACACCAAGAGGCCAAAACTTCCTTCCCTATTAGAAGTAAGGCCCTCCCTTGCATCCCTACATTTCCAGGAAGAGTGGGCCAATGTTAGCCATGTTTAAGTGGCAGCCAGCCCATTCACTGTGTATTTAGGACTTGAGAGACATTGCAAACTCTTTATTCTGGGACAACTAGTAGCCATGAGGAAGGCAAAGTTAAAATGCAACTGGTTTTGGTTCCTGGTAAATAAACATGGCTTCTGTTAGCCAGATGGGACCTGTTACTAGCTACATTGTGAAGTCCATCCTCACTGCAGGGGTCATCATGGGTTACTCCACAGGCTCATGGCTCCCTGACCACCTGGAGTGAGTCACTGCGAGGGGGACCTATACTTACACTGATGATTGCACAGAACTTTTGTGTAGCAGCTCAGATGAGAAAATGAACTTCTGAAGACTAGGGCCCAGGTATTGATGACCTGGGAACAGAGCTGATCAAACACTCACCTCTGATTATTTATATATCTATATGCTTATTTATATATATTTAGATATAGATATATAAATAATCAGAGGTGATTGTTTGATATATATATATAAAGATCTACCACAACTAACTTTGGTGTAACCCTGCATACTCTCCACCCTGGAATACTAACCAGAACTCCCTGGCCATATCCAGCACATGCCCCTGGGTGTTCACTGGAAGAGCAGACACTCCATTAAGCCACAGAAACTTAATCCAAAATAAAAGCCACCAGTGGAACAAAAACCAAAAATTATCTCCACAAACACCTAAAATAAATGCAGAAATTCAAAAACAAGAATAAGGAAGATAATATGCCCACAAAGGAATACAACACTTATATATTTGAATGTAAATGATATATTTTTTTTGACAGAGTGGACAGTGAGAGACAGAGAGAAAGGTCTTCCTTTGCCATTGGTTCACCCTCCAATGGCCGCCGCGGCCGGCGCACTGCGCTGATCTGATGGCAGGAGCCAGGTGCTTCTCCTGGTCTCCCATGGGGTGCAGGGCCCAAGGACTTGGGCCATCCTCCAATGCACTCCCTGGCCACAGCAGAGAGCTGGCCTGGAAGAGGGGCGACTGGGACAGAATCTGGTGCCCCGACTGGGACTAGAACCTGGTGTGCCGGCGCCGCAAGGCAGAGGATTAGCCTATTGAGCCGCGGCGCAGCCATGAATGATATTTTAAAGAGAAATAAAATGAAAAATCAGAAAGCAAGGCTTCAATAAATCAAATAAAAAATGAGGTGGAAAACTTAACATCAGATTGGTGAGGCAGAAGAAAGAATATCCAAACTAGAAGACAAATAGACAAATCTGGAAATTTTACAGTTATACCAAAAAATTAATAAAAAGCAGAAATTAGAAAATTCAAAACAGTTTTGGAGATTTATTATGGGATATTATCAAATGACCCAATAGACAGTTCTTAGGAGTTCCCGAAGGTATGGAAAGAGAATGGATTAGGAGGCCCATTTGGTGAAATAGTTTTAGAAAACTTCCCTAATTTGGAGAGAGAAAAGGATGTCCAAATACTGAAATCACAGCACTCCTACAAGGCTACATGATGACCAGAAATTATCTTCACCATGACACATTATAGTCAAACTTTTCACAGTAAAACATAAACAAAAGATTCTTAAATGTGCACAAGAGAAATGCCAGATTACTTTCAGAGGATCTCCATTTAGAATCAGTGATGACTTCTCATCAGAAATCCTACAGGCTAGGAGAGAATAGCAAGATATATTTTAAGTCTTAAGGGAAAAAAAAAAAAACTGTCAACCCAGAACACTGTGCCCTGCAAAGTTCTCATTTATGAATGAAGGTTAAATAAAGACCTTCCATAACAAAAAAAAAATAAAAGTTGTCCACACTCATCCAGCATTACAAAAGATGCTTAAGGATGCGCTACACACAGAAACATAGTCATCATGAAAGAATGTGAAGACAGAAAACCTACCAGTAAAAGTAAAAAGGAAATCCAAAGAAAATAACAGGAATGTTTATGGAAAAATGTTAGGGCCAAATCATCAGTTATCTACAGTAACCTTTGTCGCTCCCCCTCTTCGTGGAGGAACGACACAGAGTCCTGCCTAGGCTTCATATCCGAGTCACGGCACCATTATGTCGCTCCTCCTCTTCGTGGAGGAACGACACAGGACCCTGCGCTGTTCTTTCGTCTGCTCGGCCCTCCCCGGGTTTGCTGCTGGTTCTTCCCGGGTTGGCTACTATCCCTTCCACCTCCGTGGAAGGGCAGTTCCCCCTGGCCACATTCCCCACTTCCGCAGGGGAGCGGCACACCGCTGGCCGGCTCTCTGGGGGCTGCACAGGTGTTCCCCTTAGATGTTCCCCATAGATGTTCCTGGTGCATGCCGTCTCTCTCCTCCTTTATAGTCCTCCTCCGCCAATCCCAACTCGGCTGCCCACACGCCGAGTACGCTGCTCTCCTCCAATCAATAGCAAGTCCTACAGTTTATTAGTTGAACTGGAGGCAGCTGTGCGGAAGCTGTTTACTTCTCTCCCAGCGCCATATTGTGGGAGAGCAGATGCATAGAATAAGTCTTAATTCCAGTAACTCAGTCTAGTCCGGTTGCTCCCCACAGATCCCCCTTTCTTTTTATTTTTGGCGTTGATACGCGCCTGTCTTCGGTGTCCCGCGGCACACACTCTGCTCTACTTGCTAGAGTTGCCACAGGCTCTTACAAGTCCTATCAATCAGGCAAACCGAATCCGGGTCCTCTCAGCGCCATATTGTGGGAGAGCAGATGCATAGAATAAGTCTTAATTCCAGTAACTCAGTCTAGTCCGGTTGCTCCCCACAACCTTGAATGTAAATAGCCTCAACACTCCTGGCAAAAGATACAGCCTGGCTAATTGGATTAAAAAACAAGTCCCATCTATTTGCTGCCTACAAGAGAAACACATCTCTCCAAGAAAGATAAACACAGACTAAAAGTGAAAGGATGGAAAAAGATATTTCATGCTAACAGAAACCAAAAAAGAGCAGATGTAGCCATCCTAATATCAGAAAAAAATAGACTTTAATATAAAAACTGTTAAAAGAGAGAAAGAATGGCACAATATAATGATTAAGGGATCAATTCAGCAGTAAGATGTGACTATAATAAACATTTATGCAACCAATTACAGGGCACTTGACTATTTAAAAGAAATGCTAATGGATCTATAGGGGGACATGGATTCCAATACAACAGTAATGGTGACTTGAATACTCCACTTTGAGCAATGGACAGAAAATCAGCAAAGACACAACAGTCATTGATGTTATAGAACAAATTGACCTAATTGTTATCTACAGAATTGTTCATTCCACAATTGTAGAATATATATTCTTCTCAAAAGTGCATGGCACTTTCTCTAGCATAGATTACATGGAAGGCCATAAAGCAAGTTTCAGAAAATTTTTAAAAAATTGAAATCATACCATACATCTTCTCTGATCACAATGGAATGAAGCTGGAAATCAACAACTCAAGAATCTCTAGAACATATGCAAATACATGGAGACTGAACAATGTGCTCCTGAAAGAACAGTAGGTCACAGGAGAAATAAAAAAAATTGGAAATGAAGACAATACATCATATCAAAACATTGGATACAGCAAAACAGTATTAAAAGGGAAGAGCATAGCAATTGGTGCCTACATCAAGAAATTGAAAATGGAGCAAAATACATGAAATATCATTACATCTCAAGGATCTAAAAAATAAGCAACAAACCAAACCCAAAATTAGTTGGAAAAAGAAATAATTCAAATTATGGAAGATATAAACAAAGTTGAAACAAAAAATACATAAGATGAGTGAAACAAAGAGCTGGTTCTTTGAAAAAATAAACAAAATTGATATTCCACTGGCCCAACTAACCAAAAAAAAAAAAAAAACCCACCCAAATCTGCACACAACCACTTCCTTTCCTGCTATGCCACTATATTGTACCAAGGGAACCCTCACCAGAAGTCAAACTAATGGGGCTGCCCAATCTTGGACTTTCAGCCTCCAAATCTAAATAAATCAGATTTTTTATAAAGTATGAGGCCTCGGGTATTTTGTTTTAGTAACAGAAAACAGACTAACACAAGGACACATTGGTGGATATTGAACAAACAGAGCTGAGATATACTCCCAGGGAAGAGGGTAAAGGTGAGGCTATGAAACCACAGCCTCTGAAGAATTCAACATAATTTAGTAAAATATATATAAGGTTTAAGAGCAACTAGGAAAATCTATCCACTAATGAAGAGAGTAACTTTGTAAGATTTTGAACAAGAAATGGAACAACCCAAAAGTATTACAACATGTATGAGAAGTCTGGACTTCTGTCAAGGAAATGTAAATGAAGGGAACCCCATATTTAGACACACAAAGAAATAGATTGGCAGACTTTTAGAAGATAAAAAATTTGGCAGATGGGAAAAGGAAGATTTGCCAGATTAACATACCAACCACTGACAAGAAATCTATGTTAAACCAACCATGGTACAAGCTCTTGTCCTATGTTTCAGATAACCTTGGGACAGCTAGAGGAGGTAATATGACAACCCTACCATATTCTGTTAATATAGCTATACCTGGATACTACAGTAATACTCAATATGGGTATTTCATTATTTCATTTCCATCCTGGTAGATAAATGGCATCTTCATTTTTAAGAGCTTTTAACCAAAAAGGCCAAAATATATAACAAACATAGAGGTTTTCACATAAAAGAGAATCATTTCATAGGTTAAAAAGATTGGCTATTCCTCCTAAGCAGAAAATATAAAGCAAGGACTTTCCAAGGAAGGTATGAAGAAAACACTCTGGATAAAAGTGTCCAGTTGAGACTAGATGTTTCTCCTTCCTTCTTCTACTAAACCTGATAAAATGGGTTTAAATCTGTAATAGAGAAAATGACATCTTTACAAGAGGGACTTTCAACAGTAGCTAAAATAGAAAAGAAATAAGAGAATGTCAATAAATGGAAAAAGTAAAGAGAAAGGTATGGACTAGAATATCTGTGGAGGGGCTTTCAGGGGTAGAGGAAGTAGCATTCTAGTGAAAAAAAAAGTAGAAGATATGCCAATGGGAATTGAAAGTGTGGACTGAAAAAGTAAAGTTAAAAAAGGATCTCTAGGGGCCCAGCATTGTGGTATACTGGGTAAAGCCTCCACCTGCAACACTGGCATCTCATATGGGTGCCAGTTTGAGACCCTGCTTCTCCACTTCCAATCCAGCTACCTGCTAATGAGCCAGGGAAAGCAGTGGAGGATGGCACAAGTGCTTTGGCCCCTGCACCCATGTGGGAAACATGGAGAAGTTCCTGGATCTTGGTTTCGACCTTTTGGGGTATGAACCAGCAGATGGAAAACTAACCTACCTATCTCTCTCAATCTCTCACCCCCTCCCTCCCTCTCCTTCTCCCTCTTCATCTCTCTCTATAACTCTTACCTTTCAAATACATCTTTTTTTTTAAAAAAAAAGATCTCTACCCATGAATAATCAATACCTTGCCTGGTTCCCTTACACAGAACAAGAAATATCCCACCCATTCATATTAGAGCTAAGCCTGCCAGTTGACAAGCATCTCCTATGTTCAAATTTCCTCATCTCAAATATGAACAAGTATCTGGTAACCACTGAACACTGAATAAATTCTACTATATGTAAAAGAATTACCAAAGTAATCAGTTAAAACAAAATTTCCTCCAAGGTTGAGTTTTCTAATTTTTTTTTGACAGGCAGAGTGGACAGTGAGAGAGAGACAGAGAGAAAGGTCTTCCTTTACTGTTGGTTCACCCTCCAATGGCCGCTGTGGCAGGTGTGCTGCAGCGGGTGCACCGCGCTGATCCGAAGCCAGGAGCCAGGTGCTTCCCCTGGTCTCCCATGCAGGTGCAGGGCCCAAGCACTTGGGCCATCCTCCACTGCACTCCCGGGCCACAGCAGAGAGCTGGCCTGGAAGAGGGGCAACCGGGACAGAATCTGGCGCCCTGACTGGGACTAGAACCAGGGGTACCGGTGCCGCAGGCGGAGGATTAGCCTAGTGAGCTGCAGCGCTAGCCCTTGCTTTAATTTTAATGTATAATGTAGATACTAACATATTCAAAAAGATTTATGTCTGGGGCCAGCACTGTGGTATAGCGGGTAAAATCATTGCCTGTAGTGCTGGCATCCCATATGGGCACCGGTTCGAGTCATGGCTGCTCCACTTCTGATCCAGCACTCTGCTATGGCATGGGAAAGCAGAAGATGGCCCAAGTCCTAAGGCTCCTGCACCCGTGTGGGAGGCCCAAAAGAAGATCCTGGCTTCGGATAGGTACAGCTACAGCCTTTGCAGCCAATTGGGAAGTAAACCAATGGATAGAAGACTCCCTCCCTGACTCCCTCCCTGACTCCCTCCCTCCCTCCCTCCCTCTCTCTCTCTGCCTTTCTTTCTCTCTGTGTAACTCTTTCAAATAAATAAATAAATCTTTTAAAAAATTAAAAAAAAATTTATGTCCTATAGAAAGACAGGAAGCAATGAGAAAAGATAAAATGCAAAAGTTTAAAATCTTACTCTTAAAACAAAAAAAACCTAACAGAGTCAAATATTTGATTAATAGTAATTATAGAAAGCTCAGATAAAAGAAAGGGAATATCATTAAATTAGTAACAAAATTCCGCAGAGCCTAAGAAACACAAATTCAAAAAATTTAAAAGGTCTGAGAGATAACAACAGAAGACTCATGCTTAAACAAACCTGTATGAAATTTGAGAACAAAGGCATAGATTAATATCAGAAATAGAGAGCACAAAAACCAAATATAGAGCACAAATGAGACAGAATCTACAAAGGAACAGAAATTCAGGTCATAGTTAGATTTTTCATTAGTAGACAGAACATAGATTTTCAAAATACTGAAGTAAACTGCTTTGCTCCAGGAATTCTATACCCACACAAATTTCAGAGAAAAATAAAAGCAACATACTGCCATTTTCATACACAAAAGGCTTCAGAATGTTTAGACGATGCCTGAAGGTATCTCCAAGCCTTCAAGCAAAACAAGAGTAAAAAAAAAAAAAAAACAAGAAAAAAGATGTAACATATAAAGAACAGTGAAACAAACCAAAATATGCATAAAAGGAAATTCAAGGATGTTACACTATAAAATAGTTTGTGTAAATTATAACCAGAATCATTAGGATCTCTTCAGAAAAAATTCAAATGCAATAAAAGTACAGGTAAAGTATTCTTAATTCAAAATTACAAAATCTGAAATCCTCCAAGATCCAAACCTTTTCTCAGAGAATTTCAGATTTTGGACTTTTTTAGGCCAGCATTGTGGCATAGTGAGCTGGGCCTCTGCTTGCGGTGCTGGAATCCCAGGTGGGTGCTGGTTCAGGTCCTGGCTGCTCCTGTTCTGATCCAGCTCTCTGCCATGGCCTGGGAAAGCAGCAGAAGATGGCCCAAGTCCTTGGGCCCCTGTACCCATGTGGGAGACCCGTAGGAAGCTCCTGGCTCCTGGCTTTGGATTGGCGCAGCTCCAGCTGTCTCGGCTGGCCATCTAGGGGGTGACCCAGAGGATGGAAGACCTTTCTCTCTGTCTCTCCCTCTCTTTCTCCAACTCAACCTCTCAAATAAATAGTCTTTTTTAAAAAAAGATTTTGGACTATTCAGATTGGAAATGCTCAGCTGATACAGTCTATGCAAATATTACAAAATTCAAAAAGTTCTGAAATCTGAAACACTTCTGGACCCAAGCATTTCAGATAAAGTATATAAGACCGGGAACCAACCCAAATGCCCATCAACAGTAGACTGGATAAAGAAATTATGGGACATGTTCTCTATAGAATACTATACAGCAGTCAAAAATAACGAAACCTAGTCATTTGCAACAAGATGGAGGAATTTGGAAAACATTATGCTGAGTGAATTAAGCCAGTCCCAAAGGGACAAATATCATATGTTCTCCCTGATCGGCGACAACCAACTGAGCACTAAAGGGGAAACTTGTTGAAGTGAAATGGATACTATGAGAAACAGTGACTTGATCAGCTCTTTTCCTGAATGTTGATGTACAATGTAATACTTTATCCATTTAAGTATTTTTTTTTGTTCTAGTACCATTGGTTGAACTCTGTAATTAACACACAATTATTCTTAGGGGTTTAAATTTTAACTGAAAAGTGATTCCTGTTAGGAATTTGGAAAACATTATGCTGAGTTAAATAAGCCAACCCCAAAGGGACAAATACCACATGTTCTCCCTGATAGGTGAC